GTATCGGTACTTGGTGTCGTGGACCAAAGGGCACTGCAGGGCGTTCGCTACGTGTGACCGAATCTGCACCCACCCCACACGACACGACACGACACGAGCAAGGCGTCCATTCCCCCGCCTCTCTCTCTCTCTCTCTTCTGTGTGTGTGTGTTGACCGTGTCGACCAAGCTAAGCTGACCTGGTGTGTGCGCCCCGTGTCGATTTTGACATTTAGCAGCCCGTAGAACCTGTCGCCATGCCGCTCCTTGTACACCTGGCGTAAGACAGACAGAGAGACAGACACACTGACAGTAACGCACCGGCACAACACAACAACAAGCCCCACCCACCACCCTCCCTCCCATCGACCAGCCCACCCACCTTCTGAAGGCTGTAGTGGGTGACGGCCTGCAGCCAGGACTCCGTCTCGCCCAGCTGCTGCTGCTGCCCGTCGTCCCACGGGGCTCTGGCGATTGTGTGGCTGTACATGCCCCGTCCCTGAATCGTCTTATGGTTCTTGGTCACCACCAGCTGCCAGTCGATCGTCCCGATGGGTGGCGTGGCGAAGGGCGGGTCGTTGCGGAAGCGAATCGCTCGGTTCAGCCCGATGTGGTCGTGGGGGTTGAGCCGCAGCATCGGCAGGCCTGAGAGGAGGCAGGTATACAGCTTGGTGAAGCCCCTGCCTCGGTCGCGCTCGGTCTTGAGGGCGGTGAAGGCGGCGTGCGTCTTGGCCGCCACGATGAGGCCGGACGTCTCATAGTCTAAACGCTGCAGGAATCCGCACCGGCACTCGTCGTTGGCCTGAAGGAGGATGGGGTGAGCGAGGCCGTCTGAAGGCCGAGAGAGAGAAACAGAGAGAGACCCGTGAAAAGACCGGAGGGAAAAAGGGCCGGCCGCTGGTGTGTTCTGTGTGTGTGTCCGAGTGTGGTGGTTACCGAGTTCCTGCTGCGCCCATAGGTGAATCTCCCGCCTGAAGTGGAAGTCGCGCCTTCTCATGGCGTCGAGCGAGTAGAGGTGGAGTGATGAGCTGCCCCTGTCGTATTGGCAGATCCAGTTGGGCGGCTTGTAGATGATCCAAAAGTGGCCGAGGTCACGCACCACACGCGGCCACTCCCAATCGCTCAGAAACGCCCCACGGCCCGCACCAGCACCACCACCAGCAGCAGCAGCAGCACCCCGAGGAACAGCCACGGCGGGTGCGGCGGCAGCTGCTGCCGATGCTGCTGCAGCAGGTCGCGCCGGTGCCGCCGGTTTCTGTGGCTTGGCCTTTCTCTTGATAGGGGCGGTGGGCATGCGCGACATGGGGGAAGGGGCGGGGCGCTTCTGGGGCAGACACGGGGGCGCGGGGGGCGCGATGGCCGCAGCGGCGGCGGCAGCTGATGCCGATCCAGACGCTTGGGGGCTCTCGGCAGAGGGCAGCACTTCTGACACACGCACAGACAGATGGCTGGCTCTTCGATGCGTCATGATGTCCTTCTTGTGGTGTGCTCATTGCTGCTGACGCACCTCGGTCGTCTGGGGTATCTTCGTCGAAAAGCTGTGGGTCATCTCTGTGCTTGGCCCTCTTGTGGTGCTCCCTCTTGGCCTCCCGGAGCGCACTGTCCACGCCGCCGTGCTCCTCGACGAGGAAAGTGACGGGCTTGGACAAGTGGTTGCTGTTGCTCACCACACGCACACACCAGGAACTATCAAACACACACACACACACACACATACAGACCGAGACAGAGGGGAGGGGGCGGAGGGCATCCACACACACATCCGTCTCTCTCTCTGCCTGTGTGTGTGGATGGATGTGACCACCATACCAGTCGGAGCTCATCCAGTGTACTTCGTCAGGCACGACCCCCTCGGCAATGAGCTGGTGCGCCTCGCGCTCGTGCGTCTGCCGCGCCTTCTTGTCGATCCTCACCCCACCCGCCACCTCACTCTCGTCGCCCTCGTCGTCCATGTCGTCGTCACGATTCGACGGCAGCTCGCCAGACGGGTACTCGCTAGACGCGTCGTCGCACCCCGCCACATCCATCGGCAATAGTGGTGCTGCCCCTGCACCTGCACTAGCTGGTGCTGCAGCAGAGACCGATGCCGCTGCTGCTGCTGCTGCCGCTGGTGGTGCTGGTGGTGGCTGCTGTTGCTGCTGCTTCTTGGGTTTGGCGAATCGGATGACGGCGTCGTCGTCACTCTCGTCACCAGCACCAGCAGGAGCCGGTGGTTTAGGTGGCTTGGGTGCGGTGGTGGGTGGTCTCTCGGATTTATCGATCTTCTTCTTGGAAGGCTCGGGGGGCCCGGGGAGCCGCTTGCGATCACGGTCACGGTCACGGTCACGATCACGGTCACGATCAGGCGGGGCGGCGCGTGCTGCCGAGCTCATGAGCTTCTGCCTGATTGACGGACGCATGGAGGAGACCGGGACAGACAGGGAGAGAGCGCGTGACGGGTGGGAGGGAGCGTGGGTGTTGGTGTGAGCACTGACTGACCTCATTTCTCGCTTGCGCCTGAATTTCTCCACGGTCTCTTCGCAGCGATCGAGGCTGCAGGTGTCGGGAAAGGCACATTAGACAGACGTACGCACAGGGGCCCACAGACGATTGATGCTTACAGACTTACTTCTCGAGAGGCTCCCAGGTGTTCTCGCTCTCGTCATAGCCCTGATACACAGAACAGAGAAGGGGAACAGGTGTGTGGGAGGTGCGGCTGGCTCGGTTCGCTGAGCCAGTCCGGTCAAATCGCGGACTGACCTTCCACTTGACGAGGAACTTCTCAACGCCGTCAATGACCATGAGATCACGAATGTCCTGAATGCGCCACAATGCATCGCACACCTCATCATATATCCGACCAGCAGGTACGTGTGTGTTGTGTTGCGCATCTTCCTTCCCCCACACACACCATTATCCCACGATGCACCTACGTACCTGAACTTCGTACCGATCCTCAGACATGTCCGTGTCCGACCCGTCCGAGGCGCTGGCACCATCACCACCACCGCCACCGCCACTCTCGCTACGCCCTCCATCACCCTCACCCTCACCCTCGCCCTCCTCGTCGCCAACCTTCTTGAGCCGACGGCGCTTCACAGGCGGACCAGCATCACGGGCCACACGGGGCGAGGGACGGTCAGGACGGTCGGAACGGTTGTCAGGCGTGGCCGGCTACACACACACACGACACACAGATAGGAGGGATGGGCTGTTGAGGGGTAGGGTGGGGTAGGGTGGGGTGGTCCCGTCAGTCGGTGATTTACCCGTTTCGTCGTCTTCTTCTTGGGCCCCTTGACGGCGTCGGCCTGGCCCTTGAGGAAGCTGGCCTTGCCCGCACCCGGCCCCACACCACTCGAGCCCTTCCGCACCAGCGACTTCTTGTCCCTCACACTCGCACCCGCGTCGCTGCGATTGTTTCTCTCCTCCTTGCTGATGAGAGGACGAGCCGGCACCGAAGACGCCTGCGATGTGGGAGTGAGCGCCACTTTCCGCCCAGACTTGTCAGCGGGAAGTTGTTTCGGCGCGAGTGTGGGAGGCCTCGCTGCTGCTGCTGCTGCAGATGGGCCAGAGGGCTGCTTTGACGAGGGGGAAAGAGCCAGAGGCCTCTCGCCGGTGGGCTGGCGAGGGCTGCCGGGCGACACCATGCGAACAGAGGGATGGGGTGGCGGGTGGGAGGAGAGGGGCACTTTGGGGAGCTTGGGCGAAGTGGACACCTTCTTGACAAGTGGCGGGGCAGCAGCAGCCGAGGCAGCCGCACTCCCAGTAGCACCAGCCGCCGCCGGTTTCTTCTGTGTTGGCTTGTTCTTGTTTTTGTTTTTCTTGGTCTTGTCTTTGACGTCTGCTGCCGCGCGGATGGACGCGTCGGCCTGGATGACGCCGGGGGGCAGGTCGGTCTCCTTGTAGGTGCCCTTGTCGAAGAGCTCGCGGACCTTCTTGCTCTTGGACTTCTTCCACTTGACCTCCTCCCTCTTGCTGCCACCCTTCGCCTCCAAGACGATCTTGGGCTCAGTCTTCATGCGCTCGAGCAGGGCAACGGCCTCGTCATAGGCAGCTGAGCACATACACACACACGGGGCACCCGCAGGTATAAAGACAGTGGGGGTGGGGGTGGGGGTGGGCGTGTGGGGGTGGAGGTGTTCGCACCTTTGAGGGAGCCGCGTTTCTGTGCGTTGATGAACTTGTACCGGAACCAGCCGCCGTTCTTGGCAACCTGAGTGTCGTCAGGGGGCCACTGACACACACAGAGGGGGGAGAGATCAAGGGGCCACAAGTGAGCAGAGCAGGCAGTCTAATCCGTATCCCTCACCTCACCTCCCCTCACCTTGGCATGGTAGCCCTGGGAGGACTCTTGGTTCTCGCCCTTCTTGGCCCAGTAGGCGACACCCGGCACCTTCGCAAACCCCTGCTTGTCCAGCCCGCCACCCTGCCTGGGCGGCCGACCTCCCTTCTTGCTCTTCTTGCCCTTCTTCTTGCCGGCTTCGCCAGCACCTGCTGCACCACTGCCACCAGCATCGGCACCGGCACTCTCGTCTTGGTCGGTCTCGCTTCCTGATGAGTCGGACTCGCCGTCGGAGCTGCCCGACGAAGAGGAGCCAGAAGAGCCGCTCGAGCCGTCAGAGTCAGAGCCGGAGCTGCCACTGTCGCTGCTGTCATCACCACCACCACCACCACCCGCCTCTTCCTTTTTCTCAGCCTCCTTCTCCTTGCCTTTGCCGCCCCCGGCGCCCTTGGCCGCACTCTTGTTCTTCTGCTGCTGTTGCTGCTGTTGCTTGCTCTTGGTGGCACCACCACGGCCGCCACCACCGGTGGCGTCAGCAGGAGAGCCACTGGCGGCCGATGGGAGTGCCGGTGCTGAGGGCTCCTCTCGCTGGAGAGGGCCTTTTGACGCACTGCGCTTGGGGAACGGCTGGGGGGGCTGGTTTGTGTCTGTGTTCGTGGGGAGGAGAGACGGGGTGGGTGCTGCAGGGCGGCGAGGGGGGTCCTTGGCCGCTTCGCCGGCGTCGGATGGCTTCGGCTGGCTCTCGACGTCCACACCACCGAAGCCAAGCCAGATGGGCACTGACGCTGATGCACTCATCCCTCAATCACACCGAACACCAAGCTAGAAGCACCGGCGGGAGCCGACGACTCGCCTGACGCACAAATCACACACACAGATCGCAGCCAGAGTCCAAAGTCGGGCATGCGTCGACGTCATGAGCTCGATCTCTCCCAGCCCTCGCTGAATCGGCTCTCTGCCTTTCGCTCCCTCCTCTGCCTGCCCCTGTGCGCCTGCCTTGTCCCTTACCAGTTCGCAGCGACGCCCAAAGGTCCTCACAGCCCATCTGAAGGCATTGGGAGAGAATCAAGGCTGAAGTCGGGCCGCTAGAGGCAACTGGAAAACTGACAACTCACTCAATCAGCCAAATCAGTCCGAACAACTCACCAGGTGCGATTGCCGACCGTCGAGAAAAGACTGGGGGTTGCGGGGGCCACTTGTTCCCCAGTCCACTGCCACACGGCTTCGTTTGCTGCACATGGAAGGGCCAATAGCCTGGTGCGAGGACTCGTGACCATCGTGACACTGTCTGCCGCTCTGACATCATCTTGCTGTGCTGCAAATCGTGTGTGTGTCTGCAGGAACGCTCCTCTGTTCACGACCACCCGTCCATTGTCGGCGTGCCATCGACAGAGGCCGCTGCTCTTCATGTGCGACGACAGGGACCTGCACTTCGACTCAGGTGTGGGCGGGAACAGAACAATGAACAGGTAGGTGGATCCGGATGGTCTGATGTGTACATGGCTTCAGTGCCGGTGACGGTGGCCCTTCAGCTGAGGGGCATACACCTGAGGCAGCAGAAATATCACCTGCTGCACAGACGGAGCCATTCACTGGTCAATTAATCCTCACGGGGGGGTGTTTGTTCTCTTGTGGTCGACGGGAGGATCCGTGTGGACCGTCTTGCAGCTGTACCGTATACGTACGTGCAGGCTGTATGTGTGCGTCTGTGTGTGTGTGTGTACTGTGCAGTACTGCCGTTCCGTCTTGGTGTCTGCCTCCGCCTTTCACCAAAGCAGGAAACAGACCTACGCGGGAGCGAGGGAGCTGCTGCAGGCCGTAAGGAGGCCGAACGGCATCACGTGCAGCGACACCAACAACACGACCGTGCTCCCTTTCATCCGTTCAGCTTGAGAACATGGACAGTGCGAGGAAGAGAAGACGGCGGCAACGCCCAGTGACACAGCCGTCAGGGTCACCAGAGGAAAGACCAGGCCCCAGTGAATTTAAGGCGGCAGAAGAAGGGGAGAGCGAGGAAGGTAAGACACCGACTGAACACACCCACGCGCAGGCAGAGAATGGTCTCTCTTGTGTTGCGGACTTTTCAGGGGGGATGGAATCGTCTTTCTCCGAGTTCGAAGGGGACACAGCAAGAGAGGACGAGCTGCCTGGAGAAAGGGGTGTGGTTGGCCGCGTGTCGTCGCCCGACCAGCCCCTCCCGCTCTCCAGTCGGTTTGAGCCGCTCGGCCCTCGTAGGCACAAAATGTGACAAGGGGGTGCGAGGGCGAGACACAGACGGTACTTTGCTGGCACGTCAACCGTTCGTGTGTATACTCCTGTCGTTCCTTGTCGTGTCTCCACGAACAACAGCACAGTGTAGCATAACACGCACAGCAGGCATTCTCGCACAAGGCGACACATGAGAATGTAACATCGCACGAATCCAAGAGCTAAGTGATTGCAGCAACTCAGCTTAAAGTTTGTCGCGGGAGGGCCCGCAGCATAGCCCGCACACACACAGCAACCACAGCACATGACAAGACGGACGTCTGTGCACTGACTGCGGCGAAGCCAGCAATACTCAAGCCGTCTATTGTGTGTGCTCACGTACATGTAGCTCCTGCAGCAGCCCCGTTGCTGCAGTCATTGTATGGGAGACATAGCCAACAAAGAGACGTGATTATTCGCTGGCTTTGTCAGGAATGCCCTCTCTGTATATGTGCGTATGTCTGTGTTCCGGCTCATTACGAGGGAGGAGACGAATGGATTTACGGTGGGGGCCGTGTGGCAAAAGACGGCGTCTCCCAGGGGATGCCACCATGGGTAACGCCATCGCTCGGATGTGCCCTCCTTACGGCCGCAAGGGGAAGAAGCGCAGAAGGAGAGGCCACCGAGACTTGGCCAAAAAGGGAAAGTATGCAAAGGAGGCAACTCAGGCAGGAGTCGACGCCTCTCGGAGGGTCGGCGCGGCCGCAAGGAAGATGGGCGGGAAGCTCGGCAAGGCGGGGCTGCAGGCAAGCAGGCAGTTTGGCGCACTCGCAAGGTTATTCGGCTCCACCACTGGCAATCTCATCCAAGAGTTCGTCACGCGGGGGTCAGTGCACACGGGAATTCAGGCAGGGGAGGGTGGGTATGCATCTCTGTCCGGCATTTTGTTTTCAGCTTCAAGGCTTACTTCTTCCTGACCTTTCTGATCTACTTCACTGGGGCCGTGGTCGCCCTGTCGACATACACCTACGTGCCCCGCCGCGAGGACGGGGAGATTGTGTGCCCGATGACGCTCAACGTCTACTTTCTCTGTGGGGCCTTCTTCATTCAGGTGTGGTCAGAAGCCTTTACGTGGGTCAGCATGACTGTCTGTCTGTCTGTCTGTTTGTCTTGATGTCTCTGGTCGTCGCGCAGGGCTTCTTGGCTGCATACACGGCTTGGGGGTACTCTTACATCGAAAAGTAAGTGTGTGCCGCGGGTGGGCCCATAGAGGAAGACAAAGCGGGTGATTTCTCTCCCTCCCTCCCGCTGGCCTGCATGCAGGCTGCCCGAGGGTTCGTTCACTGAGCTGTCGGCCTTTCAGTACTTGATCGGCTTCATGATCAAGGTGGTGCCTACCTGGAGCAGGCTGCTGCATGTCTTCAACTTCTTCCAGCTGCTCATAGCCGTCTTCTACGCACTTGTGCTGCCCGAGTGCAACCTCCACCTTGTGCGCGTCACCCTCTGTATGTGCACAGCAAGCAGAGGATGGATGGGCAGACGACTGAAGAAGTCCGTGTGTGTCCCCTCCGTTTTTTCTTCGCTTAGTTGTGTTGGGCATTGTGTGGTGGTGCATTATTCTTGTGGGCATCACGGCCAAGAGACACTTCCCCGTCCCGCCCACCATATTCGAGCCCGTCAGGCCTGGTGAGCCAGAACACACACACACACACACGCACACACGGACAGACAGACAGACAGACAGACAGACAGAGAGGCCATGCCTGACAAAGCCAGCAGATAATCATGTCTCTTTGTTGGCTATGCCCCCCATGCAATGCCTGCAGCAACGGGGCTGCTGCAGGAGCTGCATGTACGTGAGCACACAAATAAATAGACGGCTTGAGTATTGCTGGCTTCGCCGCAGTCAGTGCACACACGTCCGTCTTGTCGTGTGCTGTGCTTGCTGTGCGTGTGTGTGTGTGTGTGCAGACTATGCTGCGTGCCCTCGGGCCGTGACAAAGCTGAGTTGCTGCTGGGGTTGATTGGATTTTGGACTCTGTGGGAATGTGACATTAGTATTCTCTGTGAGCCGTCTTGGCGTCCAATGAGCTCACCTCAGCTCTGCACGATGTGTCGAGAGACCGCACTGCCTGTCCTTTCCAATGAACCGATGAGGAGAGAGGAGGCATGAAAGCCAAAGGCAGCAAGGAGCACCCACGGACCGTCAGTGTCTCAGCAAAGTAAGGTCTGTGTCGTTCCCTCGCCCTCCCTTGTCACATTTTGTGGGTATGGGCGCCGAGCGGCTCGAAGCGACTGGAGAGGGGGAGCGGCTGGTTAGGCGACAACACGCGGCCAACCACACCCCTCTCTCCAAGCACTTCGTCCGGTCCTGCCGTGTCCTCATCTGACTGGGACAGGGACGATTCTGCCCCCTGAACGGTCCGCAACACAACCGATGGAACAAGTAGGCAAGAGTACATCGAATACGAATGAAGATCGGCGTGTCCTTCATGCATTCGTTCACTGATCCTTCTCTTCACATGAGTCCTGATGCACGCGACAAGCCAAAGTGAGAAAGACATGGACCTACAGCTCCACTGTCAGCGCCAAATGGATCCTGGCGTCACTTCTTCTTGCCCCCCTTGGCTCCCTTGCCCTTGTCGTCCTTCACCTCCTCGGCCTCTTCCTTGGGGGCATCTGGGCTCGGCAGCGGAAACACGAGAGAAAAAGGTGATGTTGGCGGGCTCAGCAGTTCCTCTTGCTGCTCTTGGTCCGCCCCATCACCTCCAGCAATGGCTGTGGTCTCCTCCCTCTTCTTGCGTCCCGCCGCTTCCTTTGATCCGGGGCGGCTCGGTGGCCCTCCACTGGCTGGCGAGGATGGCGCTTCTGGGGGAATGGCAAGGAGGCTGTATGTCTTATGGAGGGCCACCATTGTTCTCGCCATCGCAGTGGGCGCCGCTCGCAAGTCGAGACACCGGCCGTCCTCTTCGATGTCGACCTTTGACACGTCTGACGCCAAGACAGAAGCGAAAACAGAGGTGGAGAGACACGTAGTGTCCAGGTGTGTCATGGTCGCCTACAATTCATGACGTATTCATGTCTCTCCAGCTCCTTGAGAATGGCGCCTCTCCTCTTGACCGCCGCCTCCGCCTCCTCAAGAGTCTTCTTCTGGGCTTCAAGCTTAGTTCTCAGCTCTCCTCGTGGCGTGAGAGCTTCGGGCGGCTCTTCAGTGGGGGCCTCCTTCCCTCCTCCCTTCTTGGCATCTTTCTTGGCATCTTTGCCCTTGGCTGCCGCCGGTGGGGGTTGTGGTGGCTGCTCCTCTGCTTCAGCAGCGCTCGCAGGCCGACTGGCAGCTTTCTCTTCTAGCTCCTTGAGGGAAGATTCCACCTCTGCAGGCGGGATACAGAATGACATTCCATGCCCTTCCCTGTCTTGAGGGAGAATTGTATCTGTCTCCCCCTCCTGACCCGCGATTTGTTTTCTCTGCTTCTCCTGCAGGCGATTCAGTTTCAGGCTGGCGCTTTTGGTCTCCGCTTTTTTTGCTTCAAGCTGAAAAGCATTTCAAAGCAGAAAGATGAGTTTTGTGTGCTTGTTCCTCCCGCCAAGACCCCTCACCCGCCGCGCACCTACCTGCTTTGCCAGGTCAGTCATCGCCCTGGTCAAAAGAAAATCCAGCAGAATGTCTGAAAGTGCACAGGGAGAGGGGGTGTCGGTACATATCTGCGCCTATGTGTGTGTGATGTGCGTGAAGGCCTCTAGGGAAGCACCATTGGTCACATCAGCGTTGAGCAAGCGATGAAAGTTATCAATGCCATACTGCATACAAGGGAAGGAACACCGACACACAGCATGGGTCAATTGTGCTCAATTGGGGAGGCTCAGCGAATCGCTGCCAACCTCCGTGCCTCATGATGGCGACGCTCTTACCTGCACGGAAAAGAACATGGTGCCAGTGGCAACTTGGCCAGACTGAGTGGATCGTCATCTGGGGGCCCCCTCTGCATGCAGTTGTTCGCGCCACCGAGTTCAACTTGAAGTTAGCGCTAGCCTTCCCCGTTTGAGCATGTCGAGGTTGTTCTTCCTTTCTCGGGCCCTCCTGGCCGCCCTCTTGCAGTGTGGGTCAGCCCTCCATGTCAACGTCGGTGCCAAGGAAGCCGCCACCCGCCTGGGCTCCGTCACCGCCCTGACCTCGAACCTGACGGCCCTCATGGCCGCCGGGCGTAAGACCTTTGGCTACACGACCACCGAATACAACGACGTATTCCTGACGGGCTGCCCCGAGCGTAAAAAGCCGACGCGAAGGCGCGTCTCAGTGCGTGATGGATCATACGTTTGCAATGGCATGCAGGTGTGAGGAAGTATCTCTTCATGGCGCCGAGCAAGGAGGTCAACACGAAGGAAAACGCGCGGCCGTGGAAGGGGAGGCAGGTGGCCGTTGGCAAGTCGGGAGGGAACGTCATCTGCGAGCGAGCAATCGCTACAATATATACGCATACAGGAGAGTTTTTCCTGTGGCTTTTTTCCAGACAAGAAGCTGACCTATCACCACACCATCAGCAAGTCCTTCCTCAAAATGTTCTGGTAAGCCGCTGGAGAGGCACGACGTATCAACACTGAGATGGCTAATGCATCTGGTGTGTGGCAGGAATACCTTGGTGTGCTCCGGCAAGTTCAACAACGAGCTCGCCCAGCTCCTCACCGTAATTAGTGGGGAGGCCCGAGAGTACGCCTTCAAGAAGCGCGTAACAGAGAAGACTGCGTCCCTGTGGCAAGTGTGGGCGACCCACTTTGACTCTTTCACGATCAAACACCGCAATGAGAAGAAGGCCTGGATGAGATTCAAAAAGAGCTTCCTCTGGATGCCTGTAAGTCACGGCATGCCCACATTGCTATACTCGACTAAGTCGACTTCCATCCCTTTTCTATTGTGGACTGACAGGGCGAGCTCGTGAAGGGACCACACCCGTCGATGCGCGCGTCGGACCCCGGGGACGCCTTCGATGAAGAGACGTGCTGGTTTCACCGATGCGTCCAGCACGAAGATGGTACCGTCGAGCCTTCGTGTCCCTGGTACCATTACGTTGGAGCGGTACGAATCATCTATATGGCCACTTTGCGCACTCCTGCCGTATGTATGTCTGCACTGTCCACAATTATATTGACAGGTGGTCCAGCATGTCATCACCGGTGTGGCCGACGGCAGATACGATCCCCTTTACATCGACCAATATCCCGGCACTGACGAGGATGGACTGACGAAGACCACATTTCTCAGAGATCAGATCAAGTGGGCACTCTGGCACCTCCAGACGTTCATCAGCTTCAACGGTCAGTCTGAGACACACGCACAGATGGCGGATGTATTGACTCTTTCACATCACCTGCACATGCCACACAGGTGACAGCGAGGCGTGGATGCCTGCCTGGTGGGCTTGGGTGAACACCAAAAGGGGTCCCAGGTGGCAGGCCAAGACGGGCAAGCTGAAGCGCCTCGCCCAGGAGAACCCCGATCTCTACTGCCAGATCACCAATGGCTTCGTTCACGAGACGGACCCTTCCAGCGAAGAAGAGGAGAGTTGGGTGCCCGGCGACCTCTTCGAGCCAATCCCTGGCTTCCCCTACGTCGAACACGAGCCTGAGGAAATGGACAAGGTCGCCCACGAAAACACGATTGTCGAGGCCACGGCATCCAGCGACGAGGAGAGCGAGGGAGACGAGGAGGAGGAGATGGACATCTGGTGAACAGACACACTTGCATGCACACACAGACGGCAGTCACGAGAGAGAGAGAGAGAGAGAGAGACATTCGACTGGGTGACTGACTGGGGGTCTGCCTCACCTTTCTTCTTTTGACCCTGGGTGGCTGGCTGGGGGAAACAAGGGCGAGGGGGAAGGCTGGTAGAAGTGACAGAAGTGAGAAGTGCTGCAAGCAATTGTGTCACCTACTCTACCACTGCGAAAGAAACAAGACCGATGTTTTAGTGCAATTCAACCAAGCAACGTCTCACAAATGCCGTGACCCTCATGAACCGGACACTCAGAGGTCAACACCGACACATCCATCCACATCTGTACACACAAAAATCGATTGCAACTGATTGATACGCCGGCGTACGCGTACACACTCATACACACAGAGATACTCGTACACACATATAACACGCACGCATACATCGGTATACATGCCATCAAAACCCGCCCACGCCATCACTGCCTGCAGCCGCTGCCTCCCTCTCGGCCTTTGAATCAATCAATCGATCGACCAGCCAATCGACATCAGCCGATCAATCACAGGTGTGTCCAATCCCCGTCATCCTCCTCCTCATGATCATCATCCTCGGGCAGCGCCTCCTCGCTCAGGACACTGGGAGTGCTCTCGTCCGACTCGCTCACTCGGTGGTCGCCGTCACTCGGCAGGCGGGGCAGATGGATCACCGACGGCGGCAGGCAGGGACCGTCACCAAGCGAATGCGATGTCGCTGAATGAGCCATGACGGGCGAGGAGGGCTTCACGGTCTCCCACTCATCCCCCTTTGTGTCGGTGGCAGTGTCGACCATGAGCCAGGCGTTGGCAGCCAGGTTCGCGCCTGGAGGACTGCGAGCAGCATCGAGGTCACGGCACCTGAATGGACGCAGCACACAAACGACGGCCATCGATTGACTGTGTCTGTTCGCCACCCAACCTCTTCTGCCCTACCTGCTCTGCTGGACATGAGTTGGCAGCGCTGCATCTTGGTCGCCGAGGGCGTCATGCGCTACATGAGTCCACTGGGCTCCTCTGGCCGCCTTGTGCTGCCTCAGCTGCGACGTGCGGGATCGAACGAGAGAAGCAGCCTTTTTTGATGTGAACGAGAGAAGCTTGAAGCAGCTGATGCAGCCTGGGCTGCCATGCTCTCCACGCAGCTTCATCTTCGTGATCTCCCCTTCGCGGCTGCAAGCTAAGCCGTGCAAAGAAGCTTGCGTTTTTGATTCCTCGTTTTCCTCCTCCCCTTTTCCCTCAGCAGGCCTGCGCCGACAGCCCGACGCCCATCCGTCACCCTACTCTCTCAGATCTGCGCCAAGAGACGACCCGCCACCTCCCTCTCCCTGGCGCACCTTCTGCGCCCCGACGCCGCCAGGACCCTCCCAACGTCATCCACACACCCTCCCAAGTGCCGCGCAGTGATGGCCGAAGACCGCAAGCGACCGCCAGTGTCTGCACGGGGCGGTCTCTTTGTCCTGGGTGCTCCGGTGCTGGGCATGACGCCTCGCCTGATGGGGCTATTTCGACAGCTCGACATCTCCCGCACTGATGCTGAGGATGAGTTCGTCGAGTGCATTGAGCCGCCATTGCCGACTTCCATTTCTGCAGCAGCCACGCCGCCCGCTGTTACCAACACGCCCGAGCCCATCCGGCTCGTTGGCACGTGCCAGCGTCTGATGTCGAAGCGAGTCGGCCGTCGACTCAAGGCCAAGAGATACAGCAGCAGCCTGGTGGTGGCCAACCGGGGCGGCAGTGCGACGCCGGTGTCGAGCAAGGCCTTGGACACGCTCCTGCAAATGCCTCCGCCCGATGTTGCCGCACTCAATGGTGACGGCAAGAACGCATCGCTCATCAACCCGTATGCGGCTGGGGGCACGCTCAGTGAGAGCGAGGAGGGCAGCGACAACCACGACCCGTTCCCCTACGGCCAGGCGAACCACTTCACCCACCCATTCATCCCTGAGCGTGACAGCACCATCCCGCCCATGTGTCCGGGGCCTCTCAACACGCGGCACCGGGCACAGCCGACGACCAACAATGTCTACCCTACTGTGTGGGGGCGGGAGAAGCCGCTACCGAGGGAGGTGTTCGATCAGATCAACTTCCTCGAGAGAGAGGCCAAGCAGGCTGCGGAGGTGCGTCAGAAGATGGATGGGTGGGTCGGTAAATGGCGGCTGGTGCATTGTGAGTGTGTGTATGGGTGTGGTGTGTGTGTGCAGAAGGGAGATTTCCAGAATGCACATCGGCTCCAGCAGCTCCGTCGTCACGTCATCGACGCGCAGCAGGCTGCGTTTGCCGAGATGGTGCGCATCGAGAGGGGCCTGCCACTGCCGCACACCATGGGCAACGTCACCAACATCAGCGTGCAGCCACCTGGCCTTGTGACACTCAAACCAGCGGATAAGGTGAGCACTGCGCGCACATACTCTCTCCCCTCTCCCTCTCGCTTTCCCTCTCACTGTGTGTGTCCGTGTGTGCAGGTGCAGCAGTTCCGCGATGCGCTGGCCTACATGGAGTCGGAGGCCAAGAAGCACTACAAACTCATTTACATGCCCGACCGGGCGGACACTGCCAGGGTGGAGCTCGCGGCCATCCACGGGCGGCTGAGGCAGCTACTCAACAGCTACAAGCACTACGACCTGCCTGCAGAGCTCACTCATCAGGTACGTGTGTGTGGATTGGTGCGTGTGATAGGGGTGGGTGGGCAGGGAGTGCGTGTGCATTGTGTGTGTGCACAGGCGAATGTGCTGAAGCAGCAGCTGAGTGGCTTCAAGCAGGTGAGAACCAACACACGGTCGGCACACTCAGTACCTTCCTTCTCTCTCTCTCTCTCTCTCTCCCCTACAGTTCGGCAAGTCCCATTCGCCTCAGATGCCCAAGTGGCGCGACGCGTGTGAGAGCTCCCGACTGTTCCTCACCACCACATACACCGACACCGACACAGACGCTGACAATGCCGCCCCACAGATAGTCAAGGTACCCCCCTCCCTCCCTCTGTTCCTCCCACTCATCTCTCTCTCTCTCTCTCTGCCTGTGTGTGTGTGTGTGTGTGGCATGTCGGTTCAGCTGCAAGACAACCCTCTTTTGGTGGCCTTCGCCCGCTGCTCCAAGATCCCCTATGACAGCGACCTGCTTCTGGTGCAGCAGAGGGTGGCCAAGTGTGCCTGGCCGCTGGGCGAGATGACGCTCGTGGCCAAGCTGCACCTCAAGAAGACGCTCGAGGTGCTCATCGACATCGGCACAGCCGGCGGCAGCCAGAAACTGGCCGACCTGGCCAAGACGATCGGGTGTGCGGAGAGCGTGTGGCTGCTTGGGCCGCATGGCCCGCTCTTCAGTGACCAAATGGTGCGGTCGGAATTGATTGATGGATGGATGGATGGGCGGACACATGTGTCTGTTGTGTTGTGTGTGTGTGGCAGGTGTGTGAGTTGCGGGAGGTGTTGGGTGCGGTGGATGTGGAGATGGTCAAGGGAGGAGGCACAGAGGCCGACACGTCGAGCGGACGACCCGCGGTACGCTACGCGCATCCCTCTCATGCGATGCGATCCGAACACACAGCGGATATCGTTTGTGTGGTTTACGGTGTTTGCAGGCTGATGTACTCGGTGATCTCATTGCGAAGATCAGTGGTACGCAACACACGCACAGCGACGGAAGGACGACAGGAAAAACCATCAGCCGCGTGTGTGTGTCGGCCTGTTCTGTAGATGTGGGTGGTGGTGGTGGTGGTGTGTCGATCCAGCCCCCCTCGCCCACGGCCGTGCCGCCCGCGGCTCTGGCATTCATACTCAACACCAATACCAATACCAACACCAACACCGACACGGCCAATGCAGGTCCGTTTGCGTCTACACACACACGTCAAGTCGACCACGAGTTGAGTGGCCATCTGTGTCTGTGTGTCGTGTGCATTTGGTAATGTTAGGCAATGGCGAGGCGGCGCCTCATGGGTCGTCCCCTCCTCTGACGGCCCAGGCGCTTCTGGAGTTCATCCAGCTCGGCGGCCACACCACCACTGCTACAAACAATACCCACAACACCATTCAGGACATCAACAACACCGACACGGGTACGTCACGTCAGCACACTCGTCCATCCCTATGTGTGTGCCGGGGGTTGGGCACTCGTGAATGCCTGGCTGCGTGTGTGTGTGTGTGGACAGGTGGCAGCGACACGCCCAGCGGCCGGTGGAACCCCTGGACGTCGAATACCATACTCCCGACCGGTAAGGCCACTCGCACATCAAGGGTGCACGGAGCGGGTGACGCCATCCTCTCTCTCTCTCTCTCTCTGTGTGTGTGTGTGTGTGTACAGGTGTCTGATGGGTGGCAAGTGGCGGTGTGGGCAAGTATGGTCGTGGTGGTGCCTGAGCCCCAGTGTGTGCGTGAATGTGATACTGATTCGGTCCTTCTCTCCTCCTCCGCGTGTGTGTGTGTGTGCGTGTGTGTGTGGTGCTCGGTGGCCTTTGTCTGACGCTGCGGCCTCGCCCACCTCGGTCCGGCAGCAGCATCATGTGAAGGGTACAGAGCGCACACGCACACACAAGGGGCACAGTTGAGAGGGCATGCCGTCAATGTGGCGGCATAGACGATGAGATAGCTTTTATCTGCCTTTCTGCCTTTGCGTGTGAATGTGGTTTAAGTGCTCATGCCGTGCCTGTGTGTGCATCTGTGGCGTGCTGGATGTGACGACATACGACGTACGACATATGGCCTTACGACTTACTTCCTCATGTTATTGGTGGTGCCATGGTGGTCGCTAGATGTTCCTGCCTGCCTGCCTGCCTGCGTGTCTGCCTTTCTCGCACTCATTTGCGTGTGCATGTGCTGCGTACGTCCGTAGGAATGTATCTGTCTGTGTATTTGTTGCTGACTGACTGACTCAGTCAGTGTATGTCTATATATCTATCCACCTATATGTATATATACATATGGACACCCATACGTATACATACACACAGACACACGTGTATACATACATATTTGTGTGCATTACGCGAACGTACACATACCGTGCAAGTGCCGTGCTGGCTTCCTGACGAACTGACTGACTGAATGTCCCCCCCCCCCTCTGCGTCATGGACGAATGGCGGCGGAGTTTTGGCTTTTCCCCCCTCCCTCCCTCCCTCCCTCTTCGTGACGACAGACGTGATGGCCTTTCTTTCTTGCTTTGACGGAGTTTTGTGTCTGGGTTTCCATGGTGGTCTGTGTGCATGGTGGTCTGATCTGGGTGGACGCCTGAATGTCGCTGGCTGGCTGGCTGGGTGTCTGTCTGTGTCTGTCTGTATCATACTACCCTCTCCCGCCCTTGCTTTCTCTGCGTGTGCGTGTCGTGTGTGTGTGTTTTGTGTGCGCGGGTGATGATGCGTGTGCCGTGGCTCGAATAAGTGAATGACGTGACCGACACTCATTCACCTGACACAGAGTGTTGAGTGAAAAACAGCAAATACACATACATAGGCACACAGATCAAGTCATCCATCCATCTGTCCGCCAGCCGATTAAAGTCAACCAGCCGCCGCCCACTGCCAGCCATTTCAGCCCCCCTTGACGCCATCCCCCCGTCCCACCCACCACCCCTTCCAGTCGGTCGACAGCCACCTTGCAACGCCTCTCGACGCAGACAGACGGGGAGGTGCCTGATGCAGATACACCAAACAAGGAGAGGAAAGAGAAAAGGCAATAGACGTGTACAGACTTCCCCTTCCCCCATGTGTCGTGTCATCCGACCTCCGTCAGATGTCTGGCAGCAGCTTCAGGGAGGGGCCGTCCATCTTGCTGCGGGCGACGGACACCACCTGGGGGAAGGCAGCAGGACCACTGACGCCCCCCCGGGGCGCCGCGGTGGTGCGGAGCTCGATGGATGCCGACCCGTCATTGTACTTGGCCATCTCGATGTATGCCGCGAACTCGTCGCCCTCCTCGGCGCCACACAAGATGACGAATCGGTATGTGACGAATCCGCTCCAGCCGTAGTCGGTGGTGCTGTAGGCGATGGTGCGGCAGCCCCACAGGGGCGGCTGCTGGGCCATCAGGGCACCGATGCGACGACCGGAGTGACGCGTCACCTCACGCGACGACAACGCTGCCAACCTGCAAGAGCAGGGAGCGAAAAGGCAGACAACACGACACATTGGTGTGTTGTGTTCTCTCATTTGTGTCGCTGCATACGTACCTCCTGATGATCAGTCCTCGGAAGCTGCTGTAGTCCAAACCAGCGTCTGCAGGCACACAGACACAGCGGCAGACAGCATCCATGTCAACTTGGCTCCCCTGTGGTGCTTTGCCCTCCCCTCTCTCTCTCTCACCTCCGTACGCGGGAAATTCTCTATATCGGCACGGGGGATCGGCCGCATCGAAGCGATGTCGATATATGGCCGGCGCCCTCTGCCGCGTGTGCACCCTCACCAAGCCCCCACCCAGCTCGTCCCGCCCGCCGGCATTGCGCGTCAGCCGCATCCTCTCGCCCAGTCGGTGGCTGTAGAGGCTGTACTGGCGGAGGGCCTTTCGCCGGCTGTCGATGACGGCTTTGCTGCCCGCAAGCCGCAGGTCATCATTGGTCAGCTCGACGGGCAGCTGCTGCACTCGTCCACAGCTCTTGGCCAGCCGCAGCAGCGGCACGGTGCCCCGCCAGTCGCCCCCCGTAACCATCATGTAGTGAAGCCGGATCAGTCGCAGCCGACGCACCAGACGACTGCCGTGGCTCGACTGGTTCAGCGGGGTGTAGCCGATGACGCCTGTGAGGCCGTCACGTTGGATGATGCTGTCCATGTCGGCGACCAGGGCGGCCTCGACTGTGCTGCTGACCGCCTCGGATGTGCGGCAGAGGGCAGTGGAGTCGTGGGGCGTGAGGAAGGGCAGGAAGATGTCGCGCATGACGTCGGTGGGCAGGGACAGGCCTGGGAGGAGGGGCGGAGCGGCAGCACCAGACGACTCTACGGGCGCGTCACCACGGGGGCGCTTCGAATTCACCTCAACCTGCACGCACACACCACACCACACCACACCACACACACTTGCCGTCAAGGTAATGGCGACCGGTGTGCCACAGCCGTACCTTCTTGTTTGTGCCAGTGGTCTCTGTGGTTTTCTCAGCGACGGCACTGGCCTGCTCGTCTGGAGTGACCAGCCCGAAGGTCTTGGAATGGCCCTCCAGCTGAAGCACACAGGAAGCTCCTCACATGCCTTCATTCGTCGAAGGATGGACAATAGGTGCGTGTGTGTGTGCGCACCAGCGCCGCGCCGTTCAGTCGTCTGAGTCCGTCCGTCAGGGGGCCGAGTGCGTCGGAGATGTCCGACACGGCGCCCTCCACCATCGGCAGACGACTCTCACCAACATACCCCTGCACGCAGCCACAGATCACACAAATGTGTTCAGAGGCAGGGAGGGAGGGAAGACACACTGACCTTCGCAGCTAAGTATCTGATCGTATCGCCCATCTGCACACACCGCACACACCCCACACACCCCACACACATGTCACACCACCACCCGCCAGTTCACTGCCTCCCGGCATGGCCCCTCACCTGCGTCTGCAGCGCAACGACCTGCTCATGCAGGGTTAGCAGCCGCTCAAACGTCTCGCAGAACCTCTGCAAGGGCACACGCCACCACGAGATGATCATGAGAAGCCGACGAATGCATGACGGTCTTTGCATGTCTGTGTGTCCACATCATGGCTCACCGACTGCTCATCGTCTTGTGTGCCGCCATGATTGATCCACCCAAACACATTGCTAAAGAAACTACCTGACCAACATAAACACCACACCACCACACACGAGAATTCCCTTCTCCCTCGCCCTCTCCCCACCAGCAAGCCCACCTGCGGCAGCTGATGCCGATGCTGATGCCGATGGGCCGCTCATCCCGCCCGCTGCGGCTATGCTCACGGGAACCTCAAGCAATGCCTGAAGACCATCCACACCATGAAGCGTTGAGAGCGGTGTTTGCGATGGATGAGTGTCATCTCTCGTGCTGTGCTTACCGGTGAGAAGGCAGCGACTGGACGAGAAAGCAAATCAGTCCAACGATGAGTGAATGGGCCAATCAATGGCGCCGCACACGTCAACCGCTGGAGCTGCAGACACACACGTGCAGAGGAGGTGAAATCATCAGTCAGGCCTCTCCTTCTCTCAATGTGCGCCATCAATGTCTGACCGTGTTCTTTCCGCGTGTGTCGATGCCATCCGAACGCTATAAAGGGGAGATCCGCCACACACAGCGCAGCACAGATACGATTGGGAGAATGAACCATCGCCGTCGCTTCATCTCAGTGTTTTCGCACCTTCGACGTCGCGAAGGCCACAGGACCGTGCCGCAGCCTGAAAGCCAAAGACGCAATCTTCTTCCCGTCAATTGCGAGCTTGAAGCCAAAGAGCTGAAAGAGGGAGAGAGCTGGCATCAGCTGAGTGAAGGGGATTCGCTCAAGGACGGCATGCAGATCCATATCAAGACACTCACTGGTACGTCGGGCACCAGTGGGTCGGGCAGCACACGTGAGATGGCCATCCTGCACTGATAACCATGGGTGTGGGTGTGTTGTTGTGTGCAGGCAAGACCATTACGCTGGACGTGGCGAGAGCGCTCGAGTACTTCCTGTGAGTGAACACACCTCCTGCCGGCGGAAACCGGTAAGCACAGCACGAGAGATGACAGGCGGGTTCACGACGCACTCACTGCGCCATTGTGTGTGTGGCGCTCTTCAGGCGTCGTGTGGGCTGCCGTGAGGCCAGCGGGCGGCAGCTATGAGCAGCACATCGGCATCAGCAGCTGCTGCAGGTGGGCTGACTTACGGGCTTAAGAGAGAGGGAGGGGAGGATCCACTTGTGTGGTGTGGTGTTTGTGTCGGTCAGGCGGCGAACATGGCAATGTGTTTGGAGTCGGCAATCGCAACGGCGCTCTCGTAGACCAGTCGGTGAGTGCGGTAGGCAGCACGTCTGTCGCCGGCAGCCTGCTCAACGCCCTCGGGAACCTCTGTGTGCTGCAATCGCGGGTAGGTATGCAGAACAGAACAGAGAAGAGCCACAGCTACATCATCCCTATCTGTCGTGGCGCCCGCGTGTGTGTGTGAGTGATCACGGTCAAGCGGTTCTCGAATCGCTTTATGCAGTAAGGCACACAGGCAGCTGGCTGGCCCTCTGTGGCTCATTCTGGTGTGACGTGTGTCATTCACAGGGGTCGCCGATTAGCGCGGAGATGGCCAGCGGAGCCCTCGGATCTCGCATCTCACACAGAAGGCTGCGGCTCGGCCATCGCACGGCTGGATAGCCTCGTGCAGGTAGGAACGATGCCGATATCCTCTCTGTGTGTGTATGCCTTCTCTCTCTGCATATAGTGCTCTGTGTGTATTCTTGTTTTCGGTCCAGGGCAGCAGTGGTGCGGGGGAGACGACTGAGGAGGCCTCCGACGCTGCACATGAGGGGGTACGTCTGTTTCGCTCTAATACTAACATGACGGCCTGTGAATCGCGTGATGTGTGTGCAGGGTGAGGGCGGTGCGAAGCGCCGCCGTGTTGACGCGCCGCCCGGAGAGTCGTCTGGCGCTGTCGGCCCGCCCGGGCTGCCCACTGATGTCCTCCGCTCCCTGCTGCCCTTCGTCTGCGGCCACCGTGACGATCCCGACACCCTCACCCCACAGAACACGATCGCCCTCTGCCGCACATCCGAGGCGGTCGGCAGCGCCGTCGAGGCCGACCTGATCGCAGACATCGACAGCATCATCCGCCGCGACGGCCTCACTGGCGTCATCGGCTACACCCCGCTGCGCCAGTCGAGCGATTGCAGTCCTTTGGTGCGCCGAATGCGACTGATCCGCCTGCAGTACCTGATGGTGACGGGGGGCGACTGGCAGGGCAACGTGCCCGTTCTGCGCCTCGCCAAGAGCTGTGGACGAGTGCAGCAGCTGCCGATCGAGCTGACGGAGGACGACCTGCACCACGTGGGCAGCAAGGCCGTCATCGACGGTCGTCCCGAGACCATCCGCCAGTACGCCCTCTTCAGCCACCGACTGGGGGACAACATGCAGCTGACGCGCAATGCCAACGGGCGGGACGAGCTGGGTGGGTTGGAGATGAGGGCGCGCTACGCGGGGACTCTGCAGGTTAGGTGTACAGCTCGATTCGGGACGAACGACCGTGTGTGCGAATGTAAGAGAGGGAGGGCAAAGCCCACAAGAAAGGCAACTTGACCTGCATGGTATCCCTCCCTCCCTGTTTCCGTGTCTGCAGACGATGGTGGCCTGTACGATGGCTTCAGAGGACTGATCATCAAGAGGTGCGGCACCGCTCAAGGTGGAACGCACACACAAGACGGGAACCTGCTGTTTTGCTCTTGCCTTCCCAGCATGGCCTTCGGGTCATCGCGTTTGGTGTCGAACCGCTTCCACCGCCACGGGTCTGCCGAGTATCATCGCATCGGTGTCCTTTTCGACCAGAAGCCGCCCCTGTGGGATTGCCGCACCATCGGATATTACGTCCCATCGCCCTATGGCGACATCCCCCGCCGATTCGTCATACTCTGTGGCGACGAGGAGGGCGATGACTTCCTGGCCTTCATCGAGATGACCAAGGACCCTTATGGGACGGCAGACATGTACCTCTACACCACCGAGGCGCCCCAGAGTGGCGTAGGCGGTGCTGGCTCCCCCCTGACAGTGTCCATTGCCCACAACAAGATGGGCGACGCCATCACACTTCTCCCAGACGTCGACGAGGCCTCCAATACAGGTACACGCGATCTGCAAGATGAATGAGACCCACAGAGGGGCGAAACTTTCTCTTCATGTGTGTGCACAGCTGTTGCGGCGGTGTAATCGTAGCTGATGTGAAGTGACGGGTGGACGACTCTGAGATGAGCATGTGTGGCGAGGCTGGTGTGGTGGATGCAATGGCTGCTTCTGTAGCCGTCCACTTTTTCTATGCGTTTTTTTCTTTTCTCTCACACAAATCCAATCCATACACACGCGATCATCATGCATGGATCCCGAGCCGTTTTTCAGCATATATGGCATGTATCCACCGCATCCAGTTTTGTGTACGAACATTGTCGTTGGATTCATATTCATGCAAGGCAGGCGAACGGGGTGGGCTCCTTGACTGACATTCAGGTGCCGCGTGGTCACATGCCAGCCATACCTCGTGTACAGTACAGGATCCGCAGTTGCATCACGAGACAGACACGCACACACACACACACACACACATCAACCAGACAGGCAGCCAGGCGCATGTTTGTCATCCGACATACATACACACACCCTCGCTCAGTCTGCACCAACCCACTCACGCAATCCGCACGTCAGCGGCATGGTTTCGATCTCGCACGCTCAAAGCGAGCCCTTTCGATTCGGCAGTCAACGGCTTTTGCGCGCGTCCAGACGAAATCATCAGGCTCAGAGGACTCCCTCTCTGTCCCGCACGACAGAGATCTCATCGCATTCTCTGCTGTGTTCGTCGTGAGCCCTCCCGTCTGGCGGAGTGCTGTGCGGCGTTCTTATTGATCGGCTTATCGACTCATCGGTGGAGTGATTTGCTCGTCGACAGTCGCTGCCCTCTCGCCGGTAACCACATGCACGAGAGATGACAGACAGACGTCCGAACGACACACTCACTCACTGCGCCACTGTGTGTGTGGCGGTCTTCAGGCGCTTTGTGTTGGCTGCCGTAGCACAGCGGGCGGCACTATGAACAGCACATCGGCAGCAGCTGCTGCAGGTGGGCTGACTGGTTGGGAGAGGGGAGGGAGGGGAGGACTCACTTTTGTATGGTGTGGTTTGTGTTGGCCAGGTGGTGGTGGACGTAGCAGTTTGTTCGGGTTCGTCAACCAGATCGCCACACAACACGATGGGCAGTCGGTAAGCCAAGATGCGGCCACACAAACAGGCAGAGACCGTCATGCATTCGTCTGTTTCTCATGACGGTGATGTGCAGAAGTCGTCTGATCTGTTGGCGCGTCTGGTGAAGTTGCACCACCAGGTAGGTGGCTTGGCTCCAGACACAGACGAGAGGACATGTGGGCAGACAGGGAGATGGATGGATGGCGGGTGTGACATGTCGTGTGTGTCGTGCGTGCAGTGTGTGCAGATGGGCGACTCGATCAGATACCTCGCTGCCGAGGTCAGTCAGTGAGTCGACCAATGGCTGACTGAGCACACATCACATGGTGTGTCATTGCTCACTCCCTCCTCCGTTGCATGTGTGTGGTTTGTGGTTGTGTGCAGGGGTCTGTCGGTGAGAGTCGCCTGCCGATGCTGGAGAGAGCCATCGCTGACAGCTCTAGTGCACTTGACCGACTTGATGGCGTGGCACTGGTATCTGCATACACAGACATGCATTATTCATCCGCCCTCCGGCTTTTCCTTTCTGTGATTTGGTGTGTGTGTGGCTCAGTTGGAGGGCCACTTCAAGACTTTCGCGCTCTCCCCTCCAGACGATGACGAGGAGGGGTGGGGAAGGATCGAGCCCCTCTTTGCAGAGGTACGTGGCCCCATCGATGCGATGGACGCACACCGACAGACATTGTGGCCGGGTGGACTGACTTGCCTTATCTGATCTGCAGGAGCCGTCCAGCAATGGGGATCTCTCTGACCACTCATCCAACACAGTCGCCACGCAGACAGAGATGGTGGCACAGGTAGGTACGCCGTATCTGTGTGTGTATCTTCTTTCGTACTGATTGCATCGCTGCTTTTGCTTCAGGGCCCTGGCAGCCGATTTGCCGACAAGGCCGTCACTGATGAGACCACTAGGGCCACAAAGACACAGAAGAAGGTACGACAGCTGTTGCACCGTGCTGCTGACATCATGACGGCCGACGTGTCATTCATTGTCTGTCAGGCTCACTTGATTGGGTTTGAGTTCGTGCGGCAGCTGCACGCCCTTCCCGAAGCCCTCATGCACTGCACACTCCTCCCCCTCATCGACCAGCAGGACCTGCAAACCGCACTCGCCAAGGTCAGCAGTGCCCTCTGCTGCACTTCACCGGCAGTCGGCAGCGCCGTGGCGGCCTTCCTCATCCCCCAAATCGACAGCATCATCGAACGCGGTGGCCTCAAGGGACTCATCAGCTACACCCAGATCCGTCGGCACCTGCAGCGGCAGCCGGGTCGGTGTATGGATGTCCGTCGGCCATTCCGGCTGATCCAGCTGCACTACCTGATGGTGACGGGGGGCGACTGGCGGGGCAACATGCCGCTGCTGCGGCTGGCCAAGAGCTGTGGACGAGTGCAGCAGCTGCCAATCGAGCTGGCGGAGGACGACCTTCAGCACGTGGGCAGCAAGGCCGTCATCGACAGCCGCCCCGAGGCCATCCGCCAGTACAGCCTCTTCAGCCACCGACTGGGGGATTACATGCGGCTGACGCGCAATGCCAACGGGCTGGAGATGCTGGGCGGACGTGTGGTGACGGTGCACACACGACGGACGGTGCCGTATGGGTATCGAGATCGATTTGATCCAGACAATCCCCCGTTCGGATGTAAGAGAGAGGGGAGGGTCAAGCACCATAGGGGAGGCCATCTGACCTGGATGGAATTCCTCCCTCCCTGTTTCCGTGTCGTGTCTGCAGACTGTGGTATCGTGTACGATGACTTCAGAGGAATGATCATCAAGATGTGCGATGCAGCACCGCTCAAAGTGGAAGGCACACACAAGACGGCAACCTGCTGTTTGCTGTTGCCTTCCCAGCATGGCCTTCGGGTCATCGCGTTTGGTGTCGAACCGTTTCCGTGAGTTGGTCATCAAGGAGTATGCAGCGACTCAAATGAGAGAACACAGCACAGCAATGTGTCGTGTACTCTGTCTTTCTTTCCCTCCCTGCTCTTTCAGGTTGGCATTGTGGTCGTCGCGTCCGCTGTCTGCTGAGGATGATAGCATCGCTGACCTGATGGACCAGCAGCCGCCCCTGTGGGACTGCCGCACCATCGACTACAGCTACACCGACTACGGCTGCCGCGGCTCTAGCCGACTCGTCATACTGTGTGGCGACGAGAAGGACGACGACTTCGCGGCATACATCTGGATGAGAAAGGAGCGTGATGGGGCGGCAGACATCTCCCTCTACACCACCGAAGCGCCCCAGGGGGACGGCGATGGCCCTGCTGCCTTCCCCAAGGCAGTGGCCAAGGCCCGCAACAAGATGGGCGACGCCATCACACTGCTCCCAAAGGTAAGAGGCCATCAACACAGGTACATACACACGAATGAAAAGGGGCGGGAGACGCAGACACGCACGCACATGGCATGGAGTGCGCCTTCGTGTCGCTCTGATGTTTAGGTGTGTCTGCGTGTTCGGCCACAGAGAGGCGACCGACCTTCCAGATCTTCTACAAGAACCTCCAAGGTCACACACACACAGATGCTCACACACTAGTGCCCACATTCGCTTCCTGTGTCTCTTCTTTCTTTTTGCAGGCAAGACCAGAACACTGGACGTCCACCCCAGCGACACCGTCAGGACTGTCAAGGCCAAGATTCAGGCCGAGGAGGGTATACCCACCGACCGGCAGCGCCTCATCTTCAGCGGCAGGCAGCTCGAGGACGGCCGCACAGTGTCGGACTACCACATCCAGAAGGAGTCGACCCTCCACCTCGTCCTGCTGCTGCTCTTGCGGTGAGACACTCACTCACTGGTGGGTCAGGCAACACACACGAGAAGTCTGACCAGCGGGACTCTGCAAACGTGTGACTTAGTCGTGCGTGGTGGGGGTGGCATGCATCGATCGAGAGAGACAGGGATGGATGGATGAGTAGATGCGTGTGTGTGTAGGTATGCGCATCGGACCAACCCTGGTTGGCTCCGTCCGTTGAATGTTCATTTGAGGTGTGTGTGATGTATACGCAGGGTCGCTTTTCAAAACTTCCCCTCTTTGCATCTATGTACTTGACGGATTCAATCCGTGTGTTGGTCGCTTCGGTCACATCATCCTTCACCCTTTACTGACCCCAGACACGCCAACTATACAGACACACAGACAGACAGATCAACCAGCCAGACAGCCAGGCGCATGTTTGTCATCCGTCATACACGCAGACACACACACACACATCCTCACCACCCCAATGAAAACTATGAAAGGACTAACTGATGTGGGGGGGCGGTGTGGATGGTGATGCGTGAATCCATCTGTCTGTCTGTTCCGCGTCGATAGAGTACACCAGACCAGATGGGCGGTGGAAATCTCACTAACCGAATGCACCGCACCAATCGGCCGCTCCTCTCCCTTTTCCCATCTGCCGTAACTAACGTACACGCCGATACAATGAGTGCGCTGCCCGGACACGCAATACGATACACTGCAGCAGAAATACAAAC